TTCCCTGCAGCAGGGCAAAATCAGGAATTGACTTTTATGGCATCGTCCCTGCTGTTTTTTTTTTTTTTTTTTTTTTTTTACTTTCTCTCATATTTTTCCCCAATTTGTTTGAAGTTCATAAACACGTGGAAGATGTCGTTTATAAATCCCTCAAAGGTCATAAGTTAGGAGTCAAACTGACATTTTGACACGTTCTAGGGTTTGTGAAAAAAGGTCAACAATGTCAATCTGCCAGCAGCAGTGTAGCATAACGTCCCAATTGAGAAACGAAACACTTAGCCCCAAACGAATTTCGAGAGCTACTGCCCAAATGGGATTATGTGATCTTTTTTCTTTTTCCTAATGAAAGAACGGGATAGTCAGTAGATTAAGAACATTAACAGCAAAACATAGTCAATCTTCTAACAACCAAGGGTGATTGTTCGGTCAGCTTGCATTAATCGGTAGTCGAAGAAAAAATCAAACACTATACACGCTGCTTTCACCACCTTTTGTCACGTGTCTCGATGGCAGACCAACGGTGTCGCAACCTGATGCCACTGCGGAGAAGTTCGCATATATCAGAATTTGAGGGAAACGAACATAATCGGCATCCATACCTTAAAAACTAATCATTTTCTTAAATGGCTAAGTTGAAATACTTCATAAGGATTGTCATAATTCATAAACGCAAAATTTTGGTGTACTTGCCTTCTTTTTAGAGCTTTGTCATATTTTGTTTTAATGGTGGTACATTTCCTCCCTCTTCTTACCTCGAGTAAAGGTTTCTGCTCATAAAAGCAATCATAGTCAAATTATCTCATAGTATATTTAAATATCTGCATTCTTACAGCATGGAAGCACGATGGCAGGAATCAGTCTAAATATGTGGAGCAAGAGCCACTGAACAAAAGTGGAATATAGCTACACTTAAAAAGAGAGAAAAACCCTTGAGAATTACCATGGGGCAGCTAATCAGAATCTTCATCCTCCAGTAATGGAAATCTGCGGAAACGTGCAAACTGTCGGGAATTTGACACTTCATTCTTACGCGGCCTCCCCGATCTCCTCCGCCTTTCCAAAAACCCTTTCTCAGAAAGTGAATCAAATAGATTTCCCATGTCCATGTCTTTTCGGATACCATGATTTTCATCCTGAAAACTGAAAGCCACAGTAAAAGGGAAAATATCAACTTGGCATCAGATTCAGTGCATTGAAATGTGATAAAAGTACAATGGGGGACATAAAAGTAAATGCAAATGAACAGAAAACTATAAAGTTCTGTTGACTGCATGACGGATGAACCAGCACCTAATACAAAATTTAGAGGCATTACAATTTTTAACAGCAACAGGCACTGCAAATGCCTTTTGGATTTGCAAGAAATCAATATCTGTAAATTCCTCTATCAGTTAAAAACAAGGCTAGTTGGACTTGGAATTCCTCCATCAGTTAAAAACAAGTCTAGTTGAACTTGGAAGCAAGGAAAGTCATACCGTTTGCATAAAATTTGAAAAGCTTCTTTTGTTGCATAAGGCAACCCCGTCTTTGGATCACGGTACCTACAACATCAATGAATCCTTTGAGCAGATATGTGATAGTGGGATAAACCGAGCTTAGAAAACATAATTCATGGAGATCAATTTCAAATTGGCAGTTTAAGCTATTTGTCAGCTCCTAGTGTGATGAGGGAAGAAAGGGCTGGAACCAAGAATCCATCATGCTTAATAACATGCTGGTCAGCAATTCTCAAAAGTAAGGACCAAACCCGTCAAAGAGAAAAATAAAAATAAAAATAAAAAAACAAAAAACAAAAACAAAAACTAACAATCAACATTTTTTTACGTCCTCTTTACTTCCCTTTTCAATTGTGTTTTTACTCTTCACAGAGTTCAACATTCATGTCATCAATGACAGGAAGGGCGCATCAAATATATCCCACATGTTCAGATACATAACTGCAATCGTGAATTAAATGGTACTACAAAGAAATCAGGGCTCTTACTTGGCAGGTAAACCAGTAACTGCACAAACGGCTTTCTTGGGATCTAAAAATAAATAGAAAAAAAATGAAAGTCAAAAGCTTGATATTGAACAATAATATGAGTGTACCAAGGGGAAAAGAATTAAAAAGGAAATAGCTCAATTGACCAATGATTCATAAAGACACAAGTAAGCACTTTTACGTTTTACCTGGTAATCAAGTGCTCATGAGAAGACATTACTGTTTACTTACATGAAACAGAAGCCGTAGATATCTCTGACTGAAACGATGTTCCTTTACTAAATTCCAGGAAAGAACGACCTATAGGAAATGTGTCGGAAGACATGAAATGGCTTTGGACCAATTGATATAAACATAAGAATCAAAACTAAAGTATAGCCTTCATTCTTTAACCCAAAAAAATAAATAAGTTTACCATCTTTAGAATAGTATCTTATCTGTGGGCCGTTGTACACAGCTTTATGCACAATTGCTCTTTTCTTAACTTCTTCCTCCCTTGCCAAAACACGCTCCAAATTCCTCAAGTTCATGATTTCTGAAAAAAAGAAAAATGCATCCAGATCATTGAGAATGTCAAAATCAGCCTCAAAACTCCGAGGAACACAGTTTTGAACAGTCCGTACCACATATAATCTATAGTACTGCAATTAGTACAAAACCTGTTTGGGCTGCTTCCAAAAGCATCTCCTCTTGAGTCATCTTCTTCTCCTCACCTTCCTTTTTCCTTTTTATTGGCTGATTGTTCAACAGAGAAGAACTTCTATTTAATACTTAAACAAGCTCTACCACCGCATATCTCCATAGTTTCAACGTTTACAAGCATAACATTCACATGGTAAAACTTAATCAATCAACTGAAGAACAAAAATAAAAACCAGTAAAACGATAAACCATCTTCTTTAACAAACATCACCCCATATATAATCCAACTGAAATTATAATTCCTACTCAGACAATGACAAACACAGAAATGCCACAATAGTTAAGAATCAAATACCGAAAACTGACCCTCATTGTGGCTTGCAACGCTGCACGTATGGCATCTCTCTCAGCTTGTCTATTGATGACCGCAGTCCTCGTCGACTTCCTCACAATTCGTTCTCCTTCTCCTCCATCCTCAGGGGCATCGTGCTGCTGTTCTGCAGACTCTTGATTTTCCGCTTTCTCTGCCTCATTCTTAGAATTCTCTTCTAATTTTGATAGCACTTTCTTCTTCTTCTTCTTTTTCTTTGCCAATGTCTTTCCCGGAAATATCAACCGCTTCTTGGGCCGTGCCCTATCGAAGAAAACTCAATATTTATACACTCGAACAACAATAAAAGTCTCAAACAAAGTAATGAGCTTATTTCGAAGTTCAACCTTTCATCTGTTTCATTGTTTTCTGCATCTTCGTCAGGCTCTGGCTCCTACCAACAAGTTAAGCAAATCCAAATTATAAATAATATTGAAAAAAAAAACAAATTAATAGTAGAATTCTATGTTCTTTTCCTTCTTTTCTTCATTTTTAGCACTTGTACCTCATAAACTTTTTTGTAATTTGGCACTTTCGTCCGATTTTTTTTTCCCAAACCATTTAATCGTTGAATTTTTAAAAGAGTAGTAATTAACTCTAATTGTTAAAGATAATTAAATCATATAGAATTTTGAACCAAATTGAACCCTAAATTGTATAACCCAACCAAAAAAAAATTGATACCTTTTCCCAAAATGCCAAATTACAATAACTTACGAGGCGCAGATAGTAAAAATATAATTATTCTGTACAAAATTCGTTCTCTGTTCTCTATAATTGCTACTGTTTTAAAAAATTCAAGTACTAAATACTAAGGGAAAAAAGGACAAAATCAAAGGAGAAAGTAACTCACATCTTCGTCAAAATCGCTGTCGAATTCATCAACAACCTCCGGTTCTTCTTCATAGTTAACATCATTCTCTTCCTATATCAAAACGCAAGCAAAACTTCGAACAGCTAATCCCAAAGGCGTTTGTTAACTAAAATTGTACGCACAAAAAAGAGAGAGAAGAAGAAGAGACCTCTTTAAGAGCGTCCTGGCTCCAGAACAACTCGTCCTCTTCGGTTTCGTCGTCCACCAATTTGGTCATCCTGAAAATTCCAGATAAGAACGGAGATAAGCTCAAAGTAGAAAAACAAAGACTTTAATGGTGATGAAGAAATGGAGTTAAGAGAACGAATTGCTCTCTCCACCTCTTTCCTCTGGTGACCCGAGAGGTTCGATCAAGAAAAACGGGAGGGTCGTCATTGGAAGCGTCCATGGCTGACGATAATGAAAAAGAAAGCAGAGTTCTGCGCGTATCTGAAAGTAGAGTCTGAACTGATGAGTCGGAGATCGGAATATGCCCTAATTCACCGGCTAGTTCGTGATGAAGGAAGGAGAGAACCCAATTCAACCCAAATATATATACTCTTCTTTTCCTTTTTTTTTTTTTTCGAAGTATCTCAAAATTAATTAGAGCTCGTTTAGTTGGAGGATTCGTTCTCTAATTTGAATCATAGTTCATGGTTCGCTATGGTATTTTCTCTCATAAAAAATACACGTAAATTAAAAATAATTTTAATCTCATTTTTTTTTTCGAAGTATCTCAAAATTAATTAGCTCGTTTAGTTGGAGGATTCGTTCTCTAATTTGAATCATAGTTCATGGTTCGCTATGGTATTTTCTCTCATAAAAAATACACATAAATTAAAAATAATTTTAATCTCATAATTTTAATCCATGAACCAAACGGGTTCTTAATTGACAAAATTCCATATTGGTCTCTGAGCATTAGTGAAATTACATTTTAGTACATTATATTTTTTATAATTTTAAATTGGTATTATTTTGAAGTTTTAAAAAATCAACTTTTAGGGGTTGTTCTTTTGTAATGAAATTCAAAAAAAAAAAATTAAACTCAAGTTACAACTTTATTTAAGTTCATATTCTTTTGTAAAATTTAAATTTGAACTCGAGTTTGGGGCTAAACTCGAGTTCAAGTTTCTCCTTCAACTCGAATTCATAAACTCGAATTCAAGTTAATAAACAGTATTTTTTCTATTCTTAAAATGTCATAATTTGTTCGTTTTAATTATAACTAAGATGATTTTTTATGCATTTATAACGAAAAGACGAATAAAACCTCATTTATATATCATATTAAAATTTTTCATCATCATTGAGTTTTTATTAAAATACTATCTAAATACAAACTTAAGTTTTGACTCACCCAAATACAAACTCAAAAATATTCTCAATTCAAATCATAACTCAAATGTGCACATCCAAACACAAACTCAAGTTACAACTTCAACTCAAGTTATAACTTAAACTCAACTCAATATTATCACTCAAGTCATCCTAACTCAAAAATGCAAAAGAACAACGTTTTTTAGTTAGGTGATTTGAGTGTAGATTTTGAGTTTGAGTTTTAACTTGAGTTGAAGTTGTAACTTGAGTTTGTATTTGGTTGTGTACATTTGAGTTATGGTTTGAGATAAGAATCTTTTTGAGTTTGTGTTTGAGTGAGTCAAAACTTGAATTGTATTTAGATAATATTTTAATAAAAACTCAATGTTGATGAAAAATTTTAATGGGGTATATGGGTGGAGTTTTATTCATATTTTCGTTGTCAACGCATAGAAAAAAAATTATCTCAATCAAAATTAAAACGAAAAAGTTATAGCATTTTTAAGAATAGAAAAAATATTGTTCATTAATTTAAGTTCGAGTTTCTGAACTCGAGTTGAAGGAAAAACTTGAACTCGAGTTTAGCCCTCAAACTCGAGTTCAAACTTAACAGAACATGAACTTGAATAAAGTTGTAACTCGAGTTACTTTTTTTGAGTTTTTGACTCAAGAAATGGGCTGCTGAACAGCTCCAGTATTTTGAGTTTTTTTAGATGTAAAATGTCATTTTCATCATTCTCGTTAATTAACCAGAAATTAATAATTTAAGAAAAAAATAAAATAATTTTCAGCATTTTTAAACAAATTAAAAAAATAAAAAAATCTAATATATTTCTATCTCGCAAAAATTAATTTTAAACGTTTTTTAATATATTAATTTATTTCAATTTAATTAATGTGACGGCCAAATGCATTTTACATCTCAAAAAAGATTTCAAGTACTAAAAATAATTTTTTAAATTATTAAGATATCAATTCAAAATTATCAAAAATATAAGGTATTAAAAACTATCACACTAAAATATAAGGTGTTAATATGAAATTTTGTTCTTAATTAATTTAATTTCCTTATCATAAAAATAATTATTTTAAAAGAGATAACATGTGAGTTGACAAATGAGATAACATCGATTTCTTGTTTCATTCGCACAAACGACACTGGACTTGCGAACGTTGAGCAACAAGTTGTTAAAAGAGACTATAAACTTATGACAAACACATTCATAAAAACTACAGTTGACTTGTAACGACAAGTTAAAAACGACAGAAATTACGTATGACAATTGCCTGTGCGGCTTAGTAACAAACGACGTATCCTGTTAGTACATGCTAAATACGCAATGACATTAAGTGCACGTTTGGTTTATGGATTCAGAATCATTTTTAATTTATGTGTATTTTTTATGAGAGAAAATATTGTAGCGAATCTCGAATCATAACACGAATCTACTAACTAAACGCACCCTAAGCCGTGTATATATGAATTGAACTACATTAGATTTATATTATAGGCCGTGTTTGGAATTGATCATGTTTTTATTTTTCACATTTTTTGAGAAAGAAAAAATGAAAACGTTTCCAAAACGGCGTTTGGCGCAATAAAAATAAAAAATAAAAATGAAAATGATTTTTTGGTTTAGTATAAAATGAGAGAGAAATGTCGGTCATGTTTGGAATTGATCCCGTTTTGTTTTCATTTTCTCCTCTCTGGAGCAGAGAGAGAAAGAGAAACATTAATGAGATTTTTTACATTGAAAATAATCTTTTGATAAAACTACCTCAAACGCATTTTCAAAAATGATTTATCTATAAGATTGAAAACGTTTTCATTTTCATACAAAAAATAAAATTATTTTGAAACGAGTTTCAAACGCACCCGTCATTTTTTGTTTTTGTTTTCTCTTCTCTTGAGGAGAGAGAGAAAGAGAGATATTAATATGTTTTTTTACACTGAAAACAACCTCTTGATAAAATTACCAAACACATTTTAAAAATAATTTCTGTCTGAGATTAAAAACGTTTTCATTTTTATTTTTATACAAAAAATAATTTTAGAACGAATTTTAAATACACCTATAGTATTTTTTTTTACATAAATTTATTTTTTAACTCAAACGAGCGAAACCAAAGGAGGCCACAAGTATTCACATAGACGACTCATGCAACTTGTTAGTACATGCTAAATACGCAATGACATTAAGTGGACGTTTGGTTTATGGATTCAGAATCATTTTTAATTTACGTGTATTTTTTGTGAGAGAAAATATTGTAACGAATCTCGAATCATAGCACGAATCTACTAACTAAACGCACCCTAAGCCGTGTATATATGAATTGAACTACATTAGATTTATGTTATAGGCCGTGTTTGGAATTGATCATGTTTTTATTTTTCACATTTTTTGAGAAAGAAAAAATGAAAACGTTTCCAAAACGGCGTTTGGCGCAATAAAAATAAAAAATAGAAATGAAAATTATTTTTTGGTTTAGTATAAAATGAGAGAGAAATGTCGGTCATGTTTGGAATTGATCCCGTTTTGTTTTCATTTTCTCCTCTCTGGAGCAGAGAGAGAAAGAGAGACATTAATGGGATTTTTTACATTGAAAATAATCTTTTGATAAAACTACCTCAAACGCATTTTCAAAAATGATTTATCTATAAGATTGAAAACGTTTTCATTTTCATACAAAAAATAAAATTATTTTGAAACGAGTTTCAAACGCACCCGTCATTTTTTGTTTTTGTTTTCTCTTCTCTTGAGCAGAGAGAGAAAGAGAGATATTAATATGTTTTTTTACACTGAAAACAACCTCTTGATAAAACTACCAAACACATTTTAAAAATAATTTCTGTCTGAGATTGAAAACGTTTTCATTTTTATTTTCATAAAAAAAATAATTTTAGAACGAGTTTTAAATACACCTATAGTGTTTTTTTTTTACATAAATTTATTTTTTAACTCAAATGAGCGAAACCAAAGGAGGCCACAAGTATTCACATAGACGACTCATGCAA